ACCACATAGATGCAAAGGGAGAACAGAAATATACACAGAAATACATGTATATCCCCAATTAAACCTTCTCACGCATGTATACATACACATAGCTATAACTCCTGATTGGTCCCAGATATAAAGAATGTGCAAACATGTTAAACAAAATAAAATGCATCCTTCTCCAGGGACCTGGCCAGTGAAGGAGTGGGAAACGATGCTCTGTATACTTGCCTTACCTTGTTTTCCCTCAGTGGAATTGTTTGCAATTGTGCTTGTAGTATTTCTATTCAGGAATTATAATCCATCATGAGCTGCTTTCTCATTTACTTTTTCAGTCATGGGATCTTTGCTATCATTACTATGGATTTATTAAAATCCACTTTTGGAAGTTGAAAGAATACACTTTGCAACACTCTCTTATAGCCTTCCTTAAAATCAAGAACTTCAGCAATACACAATCAGTTCTCAAAGTTCTTGCTACTTTCACTTCCCTATTGATTGCAGAAGCTGTTGCTTTCATGCTTTTTCCACTCATCTGAAGGAAATGTTGTCATCAAGACAAGGCAGGAATTACAGGTTAGGATCTCCATTTCACAGAGTTTGTCTTCCAACATTTATGATAGTAATAAATCATCACTATATATAACCATAGAGCTCAGAATTTCAGTCATAAGTCATTGTGGTCATAAGTCAAGACGTCACTGAATTTGAAATTACAACTATTTTTACAACCATCAGTCATTACTCAAATACAGCAGTCATTAAGTGAATAAAATTTCCAAAATAGACTTTTTTTTTTTTGCCAGGAATTGGAAGTGAATGTTAGAAGCTGGTAAAAAAATGTACATTTTTTCCCTGGTTGGGTAGAAGGAGCCACTTACAATATTGTTTTTATTTTATTTTTCCATATATTTTAACTCTACAGTATCAACAACTTCATGAAAATTTCTAAGCAGGAATGATTTAAAACACACACACATGCACACACACACACACACAGAGCATATCACTTCTTTTCTATTGTTTCTATTCCTTTTGAACAAATTATATACTTTAAGGACTATATCTCAGTCATGGGAGTCATCCCATCAGGCTTTTATTATACCTATCAAATCATATTTGCTCTCAGTACTATGACTCAAATTTATCTTGTTTATTCCCCACTCTTTGAACATTGGTGTAAAGACTGTGAAGACCATGAACTTCATGAGCCAATTTTTGTTTTGATTTTTCATTGACTGGTTTATGAGGCCCCATTTCAGCAAGACCTCTACTTTCTATATTGCACAAGTCTTCATCTGAAGTCTTTACTTCAGCTTTTCTTTTCTATATCCCAGCCAACCCCCATCACTTCAGTTTATAGCCCTCCTAATCAATCCCACCTTGATTTGCTCAAATATATTTTTAATAGTTTGTGCTTGAATAAATCGCTGTGGCAGTGTCATTACAACGTGCCTAATGCTTTATCTGAATCTACAGTTTTTGCCTACTGTATAAGCATTTGGCACAAGCCATGACGGCATCATATAGTATGAATACATACATATATCATTGCCATCATTTATATGGTTATGTTTGACGTGAATGATATCATCAATGATGTTCTGCAGATGTCCATAGTTTCAGCCAAAAAACAAGCAGCATTGTTGTTAATGACAAAAGGTAAGGAACTTAAAAATATGGGGAGAGAGTGGCTCATAGTTTTGTAAAAAACAAACAGGGAATTTAAAAACCTAAGAATAATTTGCATTACAAAATTAATAAGACATGCTCTTTACATTAATGTATTTTTCAGTGTTCAGCAACATTGCACAATAGCAAACTTCTTTAAATGTTAAAGAAATCAAAAATTCAATTTAAGAGTTGACTATATGGAGGTTATTTTCATTTCTATATACTTACATCCCTCCTAAATGTCTTTCTTAGGGAACAATGCATTTCCTAATAGCTTGGCTAGTATCCTGCCATCTGAATGTCATTTATTGCTCTACTTTTTATTTATTTATTTTTAGATTTATTTTCAGCACTGTCAATCAGGAGTACAATGAAAAAGGTTGGAGGAAACACTTATGCAAAATTACAAAGTTTTAAAATCCAGTACTCAAAAGGCAACCTCTCAGCTATTCTAAACCCTTTGACAGCACTTCAGACATTAATATTATTGAATGTTAAGCATGAAGAAAAAATATGACTTTTGTAATTATTTGTTAGTTACTATGATCAGAATAAACGAAAGAGTAATAAGCACTATGAAAGACAAGGTGCAAATCCACCCAAGAAAATGTGCTTCCCAATAAAACTTGAGGTTGTATGTCTGTGTTCTGAAGATTGCTAGGTGTTGAAACTGCTTCTCTTTAGAACTGGAACATTTTCTCTGCTGCAGTATATATGTATTTATCATAGCTTTTGAAATTAAATATTATTGCAGGAAAAGAACAGCCAATGAAACTTTTAAATCAACATTCTTTACCCTATGAGAAATTGCTTCAACTTTGTGTCTGTAAAGGTCCCTTGTCAGACCACACCTAAAGAATAAAGGTCTATACTGCCCCACAAGATATTACATCCTTGGAGGAGTAAATTATATGTACAAATGCATTCTCTTTTCAGGTATTGGGTTTGAACTTCTGAAAAAGAATTATAAATGATGTGCGACTTATGGATATCTTTTTAATATGCCAGGGGATATTTGATCCAATTGTATTGATTGGTTGTTTAATTAAGATGCATAGTTTTAACAAATAAATTGGACAAAACATTCCTTTTCATTCAGCAACACCTTAAACATCTTGTTTGAATGAAGAGGTTTATCTAGATTGTTTAACTGTTCCAATACCTCCTTCTGGATTTAATTCAGCAATTCCACAAATTTTTACCATCCATATCATCCATATTCATAACTTCTTTAAGGAAATATCTTTTGTAGTTGGCATAATTTGCAGAACTGAGCCATGGTTGGATTGTGGAAAAGTCATAAGGAGCCAGCAAGAGAGAAAAAAAAGGAGAACTTCATTGAACTTCTGTAGCGTTCTTGTCTTCCTCCAGAGACTAAGTGACTAAAGTTAAAGCATGAGGAAAACTTGAAGTTTCAAATTATTGTGTGCTTATCTTTAACAAACAGTGAGCAGTTCAAATCACACACCTAGAAAGAAATCAGAGCAGGGCACTAAAATGCAGGGCACCTGCATTATAATGTTCTGATGTAATATGTCATAGGTTACTTTAACTCCCAACAGAGCTTATATTTCATAATCATGCCTAATTACCATGTATTTCCAAAAATAGAACTAAGGGATGGTAGGATTTCTATACTAAGCATAATGAACTTGCAGGCTAAAGCTTTGCAAAATTTAAACAATTGAATTCAGATGGATTCTGGATGAAAAGGTAAAGGTTTCTCTGATCCAGTCATATCCAGCTCTAGGGATCGGTGCTCATCTCTGTTTTTTTAGCTGAGGGAGCTAGCATTGTCCAAATATCCTTTCCATGGTCATGTGGCTAACATGACTATATTCTGAGGCATACAGAATGCTGTTATCTTCCCATTGAAGTAGTACCAATTTATCTATGTGCATTTGCATGCTTTTAAATTGCTAGGGGGGCAGGAGCTGGGGCAATTAACAGTTTAACTGTTCATTGCCTTGATAACGGACGTTCCCTGTTTCCATGAGGCTCATCCTCTTTACTCTCTCCTATATGCCAAGAATATATACTGTATTCCCAGCAGGATCATCCAAGGCGAGAAGGTCATCCACAGGAGCCCAAGTAAAGCAAATAGCATTTCTATTGGGCAGAAGATGGTGTAGACAGAAAATCACTTTAGCCTCAATGACAAAGATATTGTTACTGAAGGCAGTGAAAAATAAAATGAATCAACTACATATTACATCCTGATTGATTGATTGATTGATTATGTGCTTTTGACTATTGAAAAATGAAAGACTAGATTGTGGACAAATAATTCTGTAGGATATATCTATAGCATCACTAGTGTCAAGTCTAACTTGGTTGCAAGTCAATCAATCAATCAATAAATCAATCAAAGTCCAGTTCTCTATTTGAAGTTATGAAGAGCCTTGCATCCAAAGAGTCACTGCAAAGGAGAACAGCTGTCAAAAGCTGGCATTCAGTGATTAGTACCTGGATACAAACTAAATAAGCAGGCAGTTCACCTGATCACCGTCCCACTATTTATATAAGACCAGTTTTACTACTATTTAAGTATATAAATTGTTCACAAATTTGCATCTTATCATCATGTTTCTTTTTTTGTTTCAATTTTGCATGCTCATCCTTTGTCCTCTTCTGCAATAATGCATAACTGATCACCCTATTTACAGTAGAGCTTTTTAAAAATATTTTTTTCAGAACTAGGACATGTCAAGCTTCCACTGATATCGATGAGAAACAGAATTCAGATTGGCCATAATGATTTCCACAACTCAGCATATTGTTTCCTTCAGTTTGAAAGTCTTCTGCTATAAGTTCCTCTCAGAAGACATGTGGATAGTTCATTGTTTTCATTATATAATACAATAAATAATTACTATACAGAGCATTATACCATTCAGTTTTACCAAACATTTTTGATCCAATAACAATCTTAACTTGTTAATAGTCTGCTCCAGTGTTATATCATGTGTTTGAAAAAGATGCATAGATATGTTTTCATGAGTATTTAGTATGTCCATAAAATACAATTTTACCACGCTCTGATGCAAACTCAAATTAATAGAAGGAATCTATTCTATACTTTTGTGGAATATTTATCTAAGAGAATTTAAAAATGGTTCTGACAATATAATTTAAATCTTGCAACTATGTAGAGTACTTAAGGCTTTACAACAACTTGTATTGCATTCAAGTGATTGTAGAGAATAGGGATCGATTGAGAATTTTATAAAGATAAAATCAGTCTATATGTTGTAGATACAAACTCCTCCCCCTCAATGCTTAGTGCCAAGGCAATTATTAATCCAGGAACTCTTGAACTGTGCCAGTCCAACTAGTGTGTTTTGTACATTCCTTTTAAGGAATAAATATTGTAGATATATTTATGCACTGAGTTCCAGAAATAATATTTTTTGATAGATCTTTGCTCCGTTCAGAGAAGCACCAAACTCTGACAGACTCATGCAGCCTCCATGTACTGATGCCCTTCCTATGTGTTGTAAGGTAAGGCAACAGGTCATTCAATCTTTAGCTAAACAATCCTTAGCTGAATAAAACAGGTTGGTTTGCTATTATTATTAGCCTTAACATATTTTATACATTTTTATTTTACCTGGAGAGGCCATGTGTGAAAGGGTGACATCACTGACTGCTTTTTAAATCTAAGAAGATAAAGAATAAACACTGAATATAACATTTATGCATTCTGATTTTTAATTTAAAGGTGAGGAGGGGAATGCTAAAACGATAACCCTTAAAACTGGCCATTTTGTCACCAAATTTCAGGAGTGTAGTCTGAAAGAGCTCTGGAGGTTGCAGATTTGAAGCTGGGAATCTACATGAGGCTCTAAGTAGTGGATTGTCCACTACTTATCCACTGCATTAGGAGATGGGAAAATACTATTTTGTCTTCTTTAACCTGGGTATTATAATAGTGGCTATTCTTCTCCTAACAGCTGTCAGCATGTGAAGGTGGGTAGTCTCCTATTGCTATAGGCTTATAGGAATAAGATTGTATTTATTTGTGGAAGACAAAGGTGAAGTGGAACGGATTACATTGAAATAAAGAATATACAGTAGTTATGGGTTCAAAATTGTGTGAGTCTGTTAGTGACTCTGTTCTTTATGCTTCTAAATTGAACCACATTATGGCTTATATATCACATAAGAAGTAAAAATTCATCTGTTAAAAAAAAATAAAACAAACTGGCCACTGTATAACACAGGATGCTGGACATTGATACGATCAGCAAAATCTTCCTAATGAATTTAACAAATAGTGAATATTACTCTTTTTTTCTTTCTCTTCTTTCTCTCTTTAGAATTTTCACATAAACTTCAAAGATGCAAATATAATTGCATTCTAGGTCACCAAGCCTGAATACCTGTGCCTTTCACCTTGCATCCTGCACATCAACTGTATGTTTTTTGAGCATTAGGTTCTTTATGCTCTCAGTCTGATAATCTGTGATTAGGTCCAAGGGCAAACCAACTGGGTAAATCCCAGGTCATATGCATCTAGTTGCTGAACTCTCAGAAAGTGAGATACTAAGGATGTTCTTCTGGCCAGTTAAATTGTTGAAGAGGTTGCTAGACCCATCTGCAGAAGGTACTGAGATGAAAGCACCACACCTGTTGTTTTTTTAGTACTCTGGTTTGTTTCCTTTGTCAGTGTTAGATCCATTGTGCTTTTAGAAAGCAGAATGACATAGTCTCTTTAAAATGGCTCCTGAGAGAAAAAATGTTTTTTTTTAAAAAATAGAGCTATGTTCCCCTGAATATGTACCACTTGAGAAGCAGACTCATATCAACACCTGCCCCTTGACAATCAGTTGTTAGCTACTTTCTTCCTACTGTGCCAGTTATTTCTCACCTCCTTAATCAAATTGGCATAAATAGGTCAGAATCCTGTGTGTGGATTTTATTCAATAGCACCTCTTTATCTGTTAATATGTCCCCAATCCTATTCAATCTTATTTGACTTTTTACAAGCATTCCATAATCACTCATCTCATAATCACTCTTGTTTGATTGCTGCTACTGTGACCCTGATTATAATATTTCCTGATGAAAGACATAAGAAGATATTCAAAGCAAGGGCACAGATTAAGTAAATGCAGGGGATTTGCTTAGAATTGTAGAGATGGTAGATTTCAGTAGTTTACATCTTCTGTAAATGTAGTCTGTGCAAAACCAGGAAACAGAAGAAATTAACCAGCAAAAAGATATTCTTCTATAAAAGTTTTTTTTCTCTCTCTGTCTTTCCTCTTTCTTTTTTCTTCTCCCTCCCTCCCCCCACCCATTATCTTTGAATCTATGCTGAACAACCATATTCTCAGACTGCTATTTTCACACATGAATAAAAGTCACATATTCCCAATCTGTCCTTGTGTGCAGAAAGCTTAAGGCATTATCATTCCATTGTTAATGCTTCACATATTATGCCTTTATATGGAAAACTGCATGCCTGAAGAGGTAGGAGGAATTCAATTTGTCTCTGTACCAAATTTGACTCAAAAACCAACACGTAAAAGTAGCAAGATAACTCGTGAGCACAAGCAGAATGTAATTCCCCCCCCCCTCCTTGTAACAGGTTTGTAACTATCTGTCCAAACACCAGGTATAGAGAAATCCCTTGGAGCACAGGAAATTTGTTTACAGTTTTATGTTTAATGAGTGATGAAGGGGGAAGTTAAAATATAAAATATTAATCCTTCCCTGAATATGTCACTTTTGTATTGGAACACATTGGAAGATCACCTATAGAATTTAGAAATATATACATGAGAATCAGATCAGGGCCAAAATAAAATCACCTCTTTCATGCTGAAAATTCATGAATTGTCATTGTTGGCAATAACTATAATTTTAAATTTCCCTTGGGGCATATTTCTTTTTAATATAATATACTGCATGGTCTAGATTTATCATTCTTAGTTTAGATGGAACAGCCAAGCCTTGATCTCTTTCCATCACAAATTTAAATGCTATTAAATTTGACATCTCTGTAAAATCCCCTCGTCACATTTTGGGGAAACTGACTCATTTGGAAATGCAAAAAGTTTTCCTTTTTAAATTTTTTTTTTTTTAGAAAACCTATTATCTTCCTTGACTGTTCTGATATATTACGGATGCCAAAGGGCATTTGGCTTAATTTCATTACAGCTGCCAAGTGGGCTTCACCTCTTTGCAATTTTTTTTTGTTAACTATATTCTATCTCTACCAGAAATGTCTATTTCATTTCTTTTATCTCATACCTGCTAAAATATTCTGGTTTATTAACCATATTTATCTAAGGCAGTATAAAGGCAACACTTTTACTTCTCTACCCACCCTGCTCTTTGCATATCTGTAGTACTCTATTTTATCTCTGTTGTAGGATTTCTCAACCTTAGCAATTTTAAGATGTATGGACTTCAGCTTCCAGAATTCCCCAGCCAGGAATATTAAAATAATCTGCTTTACTGAAACATACTCCAATTGTCCATCTATAACAGGGGTGTGGAACTATGACCTCCTTAATGACCTGTGAACTTCCTCCCAGAATTCCTAAGCCAGCCATGCTGGCTCAAGAATTCTGGGAGTTGAAGTTCACAGTTCATAAAAGGGCCATAGTTCCCTACCCCTGATCAATAACAATACAATACAGTGCCCTTCCATCAGTGAATCCATTTCATGGTGCATTCAGCCAGTACAAATAACTAATTTGAGTGGCCGCAATTTGCTATCTCTACAAAACAAAATAAAATTGAAAGAAGTGGAAAAAAAGGTGATGAGATTGATTAGTTGGCCTTCCTCCTAGCAGGCTTGTGTTAAGAGATGCTTTCCGGGTGATGCTTCAGCTGTTTCAGTTTTGTTTCTCCTTCTTCTCCCTACTTTTCTTTCACCTTGAAGCAGCAGCACTAATTGCAATGGCTGATTCTCTTGGCCAGCAGTGTGAAATATAAACAACAAATGCCACAGTCAGGCTAGTTGTGTAGGCAAGATGCAAGAACATCAGCCATCTCCTGCCTTGGGCAACATTAGCCGAACCATCTGCACCTGCTCTGTTTTGTTTGTGCATGTGTGTGTGTTTGTTCTAAATTGCAAGGAGGTCAGGATTGGGGCCTAGCAGGCCTGGTGATTTGCCAGCATTCCTGTTGGGCTAATAGAATAGGGACAAGAAAAAAGAAAAAAAATGATCCAATTTCATGAACTAAATATACAATCAGTGACAATAAAATCTGCTCAAATATTTATACTGTAGATCTTTCTCCCATTTATTCCAAACTGCACAGTGGAAGACAGTGTCTAATCATGGTCTGGAGAAAATGGTGCAAGCCCTTTTTTTAACAAAATGTTATTAAATTTATATAGATGATGAAAAATAGGAACAATACAGGTATGGTAAAGGGAGGAGTAAAAGGAAAGGGGAAGGGGAAGGAAATAAGGAAGGTAAAATAAGGATAGGTACAATCACATATTTCAACAAACAAGCAATCATCCGGATCATAATAATGAGTAAATATCATATTCAACCATTTTTAACAAAGCTTAAACTGTAACATATTAAAAACAATTAGTTGATCTATTAAGTAAACACTACTAATGAAATCTCAAAAAAAATTCCTAACAATCAAAAGTAACAAGTGAAAATCAGTAAATCAGGAAAAGTAATCGTATCATCAAAATGTTAGTTAGAACTCGATTAAAAATCAGTCATCTATTCTAAAATATTAAATCCTTCAAGTTCTAACGTATCTCTAACTATTTTTTTTTTATTAAAAGTTTTATAAATTTTACAAAAAAAACAAAAAACAATACAGAACAAAAAACAACATATACAGAAGAAGAAAAATTAAACAATACATATAGAAAAAAAAAAACCCCACCCCACACCCCTCCCAAAAACCCTCCCTTCCCCCCCCTGAGCTTCCCAGAGCAGAATATAGGCTTAAGAAATAAAAAAAATAAAAATTAAATTAAAAACTTTATATTTATATATATAAAAAAGATATCTATAATATATATAAAAATAAAACTTATGAAAAAGCTATATGATATTTTTGTATACCCAATCTAGATTGTATAAATTTTATCCATTTGTCCCAAATAGCAAAAAACTTCTCTTGCGTTTGTTGCTTTAAGAAAGCCGAAATCTTTGCCATTTCCGCCAGATAAGCTACTTTAAAAAACCATTCCTGCAATGTAGGCAAAGATTCCTTCTTCCAATATTGTCCAACTAACAGCCTCGCGGCTGTGATCAAATTTAACATCAATACAACCTCCTTTGTATCACAATCTGTAACAATACCTAACAAAAATAATTGCGGAGTAAATTTTACCCTCCTTCTAAAAATTCTCTGGATATTCCACCATATTTTGATCCAAAATGCTTTTATCTCTCTGCATGACCACCAAATATGATAATAGGAAGCCTCCTTATAACCACATCTCCAGCATTTAGGTTGCACGTCAGGGTACATGTAAGACATTTTTTGTGGATCAAGGTGCCATCTATAAA